TATCAAGACCCTTACTGCCCACAGCACTGTCATGCTTCTAGATTTCCCTCTCTCATCTTCTGAGGTGAACTGTGCGTGAATCCTGATTATTCTGCTGTGTAAATGCCGGCCACATAGGAGGGACTTGGGAAATGTTAACTAAATCTTAAGCAGTGAGTGTCCCAACAGGTTTTGATGCGATGGAATGACATTAGTACTATAAGTGCACAGAGCAGGACCAAGAATTCTGGTTCTTCATGTCAAAATAACCCCTATCTCTAGGATATCTAGAATTAACAGGAATGGTTAATATTCTGGGTAGGTGGATTCTAGTCCAGGAACCCTTACCACTCTGTGTCACCCTATAAAAGGAACTATAACTTGGCATCTAACCAAAATGTGCCACTTGCATTTATAAAAAGTGAAATAGGAGTAGGACACAGAAAAGGAGTATGATCAATGCTCTTGTCCAGCACCACAGCTCAAAGGCATCAACTCTCCTATCATCTCTAGTCATTGTTCAGCTTTCTGGATGGAAAAAACCAAGCCCCTCATTTATTTAATACACTTGGCATGGCTAAATTGGTCTGTGACATGCAGATGTCACCCTCACTAATTCTCTGGAACCTGGAATAAGCTGTCAAGTTTGCATCTCTGCTCCCTCCCTCCAAATCAGTTCAAAGCCCTGAGTTTTCATTCCTTACCTTCAACAACAACAGGACCATATTTATTCTCATTCCTAAAAAAGGTGATCCAACAGAGTGTGGAAATTAATGAACAAAATCATCACACGCAAATAAAACCTTGCTGAAGAATATCCAGATATGGTTTCAAAGTACATTGACAGAAAACAGCCAGAAATACAAACTGTCCACAGAAGAGACTGTGGCACTAGCAATATCATTGCTGATGTCAGATGGATCTTGCCTGAAAACAGAGTTGTTATGCGTCATTGAGTTGCCTGCAACTCATAGCAACCCTATGTATTACAGCCCTAAACCCGGCTCTATCCTGTGCTAACCTCAGTCTTAGGACACACTCACTCCCATTATCCCAGTCACTGAATCAATCATAGAGGGTCTTTCTCTCCTACACTGTCC